CCTCTATCTTCTTGAAGGGTTAAACATTGAAACAGGTGTAAATTTAGAATCTGTTGCCGATGTAGGTCATTGGATCACTAGCCACCTCAACTCTTCCAATTATTCCAATGTAGGAAATGTCTTATTTTAAGACTTCATTTGACTTTTTAAAAAAGATTTTTCATGATTTACCCCCATTTAACTTAAAGAATGTGAAATTCATGTTTATTCAGACTGAAGAAACTCCAAATCCCAATGTATTAAAGTTTCTTCCCGGCAAAGAAATTTTAGAAGGCGCCAGCATTGAAATTTTTTCGGCGCAAAAAGGGGAGAATGTTCCTTTAGCGCGAAGACTATTCCGTATTTCTGGTATTAAAAGTCTCTTTTTTGGACACGACTTTATTTCTGTCACTAAAAAAGAAGAAATAGAGTGGTCAGGAATCAAAGCAGACATATTTAGCACACTTATGGATTACTTTACTCTTCACGATAAAGTAGAAGTCCAAGAAAATAATACATCCAACGCTAGTGAACTCACCAAAAAAAATGAAGAGGACGAAATCACTCGAGAAATTAGAGATTTGCTAGATACAAAGGTACGTCCTGCCGTCGCTGGAGATGGTGGAGACATCACCTTTGAACGTTTTGAAGATGGCATTGTTTTTGTTAAAATGAGGGGAGCTTGTTCTGGTTGCCCTAGCTCTACTTTAACTTTAAAGTCTGGCATTGAAAATATGTTGCGTTATTATATACCAGAAGTACAAGAGGTTCGCGCGACCAACGAGGAAAGTGAATCCTAGAAAGGGAAAAGATGCTATTACTCCTTAGAATATCTTTTTTATCCCTTCTTCTTGGAACTTTTCTTCCGTTAACACACGCCTTTAGTAGTATGGGACACGCGACGTTTGAAGTAGAGTCTTATTTAGACCTTTCTGCCCATTTGGAAGAGCTTAATTTAAACTACAAGACGTTCGCAATCAGGAGTCTTCTGTCCCACGCTTACGCATTAAAGAACTCCCTAGTGATATGCGTTCTATTAAAAACGTAAAAACAAAGAAAAAAATTTTTCTCAGTGTTTTGCTTCCTCTTATCTTAAAAGCAAATGAAGAAGTTCTAAATCAACGACGACGTCTCATCCGTTTAAAAAATGCACAACACCCTCCAAGCCTTTCCGAAAAGATGTGGCTTTCTCAAATCACAGAACAGTATAGACTTCAAACACCAAACATAGATATCCTTCTTAAACGCGTAGATGCAGTTCCTGTGTCACTTGCACTTGCTCAATCACTTATTGAAGCAGAATGGGGAACTTCTGACCCAGCGCTTTCGCGAAATTCTGTTTTTGGAAATACCGTTAATGGCCGTGTGACAGGGTATAAAAACCTTTATGAATGTGTTCAATCTTATATTCGAAATCTTAATACCAATCATGCCTATCGGGAGTTTCGTGCAGCTCTCCTTGAGAAACGTAGAAAAGGTGAAACATTGTGCGGTCATGACCTTGCAACGACGCTCACTCGATATTCAGAAAGAAAAACAGCCTACGTAAAACATATCCAAAAAGCGATAGAGTTGAATCGACTAAAAGACTTTGATACAGCTCGTCTTGAACCTGTTACAACAGCCTCTATCTAAAATGGAAAATCATGCCCGTTTCTTTAAAATCACAATTCCTTATTGAATCCCAAGCACGGGGGTTTATTCATCAATCTACAGATTTAGAAGGCTTAGACCACCGTATGGCGCACAAACCTATTGTTGCCTACCTTGGATTTGATGCCACGGCAGATAGCCTACATGTTGGTAGCCTTGTCCAAATTATGTGGTTACGCTTGTTACAACGTACAGGTCATAAGCCCATTGTTCTCCTTGGTGGCGGAACAACAAAAATTGGGGACCCTTCTGATAAAGATGGATTGCGCAAGCTTCTAACAGATGAGGAAATTGATCATAATGTACACTCTATTACGGAACTTTTTAAACGTTATTTAACATTCGGAGATGGTTCTACAGATGCGATTCTTGTAAACAACAATGACTGGCTTTCTCAGCTAGGATACTTAGAAGTCTTGCGCAAGTTTGGCCCCC